GAGTGGACTCAACAGCACCCAAGAACCACTACAGGGACATGATCCAGTCTTCTTCCCCAGTTCCACTCCCACTCCCTTCTCCAACGAGCAACAGTGGCCTGAGAAACTCCCTCACCAGCAGAGTCCTCTGGGACAAGCGGATCATGGGGCCACTTAAGTAGGACTGCCTCTTGGCTCTACTCTTCCCACCTGTGGCCAAACTCAGGTATTTATCACCTCTCCCTGGCTCCGGCTCCCCGTGTCCACCCCATCCTGTGTCCTTCAGAGAGAAGGAGACGGGGTGTCGGTGAGAACCCATAAATATCTTTGAAGGATTCCTGGCACAACGAGTTCCTTGGGCTCCGGGAAAGTTCTGGTCTTACCAGTCCCGCCCATCTGGTGCTCCAAGATGTGGGCCGTTCCAGGGCTCCGAATCTGGGTTATTACCACGACATTTACACAGCCGCTAAGCCTGCCCGCTGAAAAGCAGCCAGGGTTTGGCGGGCAGTCATGAGGCTGACTGGTGCCCAGCAGCTGGCAAATCCCACGGCACGTTAAATGTCACTGCAGGCTTTGTTTGGTTTTACGCTGGAAAATTGCTAGAGTTATGAACTCTTACAAACCTTGCCTAAAAGGTAGGGTGGGAGGGGATGGCGGGGAGAGGATCCCCCACTTTGATTGTTCTTTACTTTTCCTTCCTGGATGACTTGTCTAGGGACCGCCAGCCTCCCCTGCACTTGACCTCACATCTCTCCTCCTGCACCCCCAAGCACATTAATGGGCACCTCATAAACTCTCTACTAAGAAAGAGTCTGTTCCCTGGGCTCCTCTTGCGAGCGAGGAAGAATGTGGCACCATTACTAATTCAAAGCAGACCTGACCCAGCTAAAGACCCCTGTGTACATTTTCCCAGGATCCTTTCTCTCCCTTTCGCTTCTCTGCTTAAAAGGAACATTCAGGCTTACCGTCTGCAAACATCCGTCACCAGTAGAAAGTAACTCTGGGTCTCTGAACTACAAGGGCTCTCAAGGGCACTGACGAGACCCAGCTGGCAGACGGAGAGGTTATTGTCCTATTGACACCGTGAAGGTTGCTAGAGCCCAAAGAGGAAGGACCCGTCCAATAGACAGGAAGTACAGAGCGCACACCTAGGGCTCCTGCCTCCCCATGTCTTCCCCTCTGTCCTGACCTCCCTCCATCTGGTATCTGAGCCCGAGCTAGAGAAGAGGTCTTCATCCTTCCTTCCCAGCTCCAGCCTGGGCGCTTCCTCAGAGGGGTTCGTCAATATGGTTCACCCAGATGTATATCCCATTTCCATTCTGCCAGCTCCCTCCTGCTGGCATGTGTCACCCCTCCATTTAGCATGTCCTGCTTTCCTGGGCGAGGGGGAGCATGTGAGCGCCCGTGTGGGGTGCATGGGAAAGTCTCAGTCCTTCCGTTCCTCCCCCTAACCCGGGGATCAGAAGTAGACAGGATCTTGAAAGGCGCATGAAATGCCTCCTACCCATCAGGCTTGGGAGGAATTGATGGGTCAAGGAGAGCTGCGCCACAGTAGCAGAATCACTGGTGCTGGAGGAATTGCGTGCTAACATCGGCTGAGACATTGACAATGCTCCAGGTGTGCCCATTTAGGCTTTTTGTTCTGTTTGTTTTAATCCTGGGACCCAGGGGGAGGATACCAAGCCCCCTGCCTCCCCCCACCCCCAAAAAGAGATCTGCTTAGTATGTTGGCCCAGGGGTGACCTGAATAGGCTTGCCTTCTGCCGCCTTCCTGACCCCGGGTCTCTGCTCCAGGCTGCCACTGTTAGAAGTGCTCACTGCCAACTGGGAGGCCACGTAGGTTAAGGAGAGTGGCCTGGACCCGACCACACAACCTCTGCTGTGCTCCCAGGCAAGAGATCTGATCGACCTGGTTCTTGCTTTCCTCATCTTTAACTTATACCATGGGTGATTCGGTAGAAGGATTTCTAACCTTCCCAGCAGGGGAACTAGGTTCCATTCTGGCCAAGGCACTGCATGCCAGACCACCACGTGCCTGTCAGTGGAAGTGTGTGGGTTGCTATGATGCTGAATGGGTTTTGAGGTAAACACCATACGAAGGCCAATGAGGAGGAGAGGCCTGGCAATCCACTTCTGAAACCTAGCCAATGACAAGCCAAAGGCTCCATCAGGGGGGTGGTCCAGGACGAGGCAGGTGTCCGTCCATGTGCATGAGATCTCCCTGAGCCGGGGCCGCCTCCACAGCGGTGGCAGCAACAGGCACCACAGGGCGAGTCCAAGGATTAAATGGCAAACACATACACTGTCTCGCAGGACCTGTAAATACGAGGTCCTTCTCCTCATCCCCCGTTATTTCACTTTTTCTGCTCAGTCATTGTCCTCACAGTGAGGTCGGCATTCTATCACAACATTACTTGCTAAAAGGAGATGGCACACGAATGGTGGGTTTCAAGCCTCAGACACAAGCCCAAGAAGAGACGTGCCAATGTCGTTGCAGAAGGCTAGGGTCCCTAAATGAAAACACTTGTAGAGGAAGCTGAGGCATGACAGAATGAGGCCAAAAGGTGGAAGCCCCCCAAAAGCATGACAGCAGAGGAAAGGCTGCAGTGCCGGGTACGCAGCGGTGAAGCCGTACTCAGCGCTAAAGGGAAATGAAGTCCTGATACGTGCTACAACCTGGGGGAAAGTGGGGAACTTTGTGCTACATGAAATAAGCCAGACACAGCTGGATACCTATGGTATCTTACTTTAATTGTTACTCGACATCATCTATTCTCCCCAAACCCTTCCCACCCGCACAGCACAAGCGCGTCCTAGCCGCCCTCGTGCAGGCTGGTCTGAATGGACTTTGTGGCGAATGCTGCCCCTTGGCGGGAACACAGGACACAGAGAACAGCAGAGCCAGCATGGAGGAGCTCCCCACCCCACCACCTAAAAGGCACCGCCTCGTGCCTCCAAGGTTATTTAGCTTGCTTTTCATCTCTCCACCAAAGGCATTTGCAGAACATTTCTCTGGTGATGGAAGAACTGACCGTGAAGTGTCATGATGCTCCCCAGAGCCCTCTTGAATGGAATCTACTGGATCTTGACTAAACTCAAACCAAACCCTCGACCGTCCGGTTGGTTCTGACTCCTGGTGACCCTAAAAAGAGTTTCTGAGACTGTGAATCTTTATGGGAGCGGTCAGCTTCGCCTTTCTCCTCCAGAGGTGCTGGTGTATTTGAACTACCCAGCTTCTGCTTGGCAGTCCAACTCCTAACCCACAGGGCCACTTGATGGAAGTATTGCCTACATATGATAAAGTATATCTACTCTCAGGGCACGGTTTGACACACGTGGATCCTTATTTCTAATGCAAACCTCACGTGCAGCATCACCAACAGGCAAGTTTTATGGAAAAGTCAGACTTGCTGCTAGCCTGCCCCTCTGTCCTCTTTCTCTTCGGTCATTTGTATTTTTATCTGTTTGGAAGAGGTGATGTGGAGGAAGGAACTGTTGCTTTAGCATATTGGAAGCCCCATAAAACACTGGAAGGCCATACAACATAACACCTGGCATTTAAAATCTATGTTGATAAATGTGAGAAAAACCGCCACTGGTATATGAGGCAGTTTGGCAGATACGTGTGTGCACTTTGGCCTTGGGGTCTAGGTGCCAGGTGCCTTGTCTTGATGAATGTCTTTGAGGGAAGCCCACAGCATTCTCTCATCCCTTGACATTTCGCTCCAAGACTGCGCAGGAGGGATCTGTGTACTTGCCACAGGCATCAGAGCCCGGATGGACCCTACGAGAGGGTCGAGGGTCGATTCCAATCTCCTTGGGACTATCGGGCTTAACATGCTTTCCTCTGTGAAGCGCAGGGAGCCTCCTGCATGAGAAATATTTCCTTAAAGGGGAAAGGTAACTGATCAGCGTTCACCTTGAAGGCAAGGTCAAATCCTAAGTTCTCAGACTGGCCCTTCATGCTATCCACCTGGCCTCCCCTTTCACCACTTCCCTGCCTGGTATTTCACGTTCCAGCAACAAAGAGCCCCCCACTCTTTATAGCTTCGGTGCCTTTGTGCAGGTTGGCCCTCCTGACTGGGAGCTTCCATCCTGTCCTCCTCTCCACCCCACTTCTAACTCACCATCGTAATTCCACTCAGCTAGCACTGTCTTTAGAAGCTGAACCATGGCAGGGAATGAGAAAGAGGGACTCGGGTCAGGCCAACGTGAATTTGGATCTTTATTTATTCCCAAGTCATGTTTCCTCTCCAGCCCGGGGTTTCCTCGTCTGTACAAGGGGGGTAAGCACACCAACGTTGTAAGATGGTTGTCACAGGTCAATGCAAAACACTTGGCATAGCAGATGGCCCATGGTGAGTGATCATAATGCAGTAGTCATTTCCATTGTTTTCTGATAGTGCCTACTCTGTCTTCCTGTCCTAGACTGGAAATGAAAGATTCCTCTCTCACCATCCTTGTATATTTTGTGAACTTTAATATTTTAATAGGTTTTGTGGAAATACAATTTGCATATAGTAGATTAGACCTGTCTTCGGTGCATGGTTTGACACATGTGGAGTCCTGTGCCTATCCTGCATATGAAACTTTTATCACCCTAATAGGATTCCATGTGCCCCTTCCCAGATTAATCTCCTGGCCTGTAACCTTGGCCCTAGGCAACCACTGATCTCTTTATTGCTGTTGCCTGGCTTCCTTGAGTCTCGCAGAGATGGCGTCATCACTAGCACTCAGGCTTCATCATCCAGCCTAATGTTTTGAGGTTCACTGCATGCATCAGTAATTCACTCCCATTATGATGCTTTCAGTTTTGCATTATAATCTACCAGATTTTCCCACTAGCCTGCGATACCCTCACAGTATCCTTCTTTGTCTTCTTTGGTATCTGAGGAGGCACGCAGTAAGTGCTGAAGAGAGGGCAGGAGGGAGACAGTTACCATGGAATGGTCCCCTCGCATCCTACCACCACTGGGAGACCGTCCTCACTCCCCAGCAGAACCCCATGCGCAGGCACTTACAACAGCCAGTCCACGGCCACCAGCAGGCTGATGTCCTCTGTCGGCAGGCCCACAGCAGTCAGAATGAGGAGCATGGTGACCAGCCCGGCACTGGGGATGCTGGCAGCGCCGACACTCGCCAGGGTGGCCGTGAGACTGTGAAGACAAAGAAGACGAGGTCAGGAGAGGAGAAAGAGGCTTTGGCAAACCCATGCTGGACAATTTCATGCTTTGATTTTCCAGCCAGTCACCCAAAGCAGTTTCCCGCAGGGAATGGAGAGGCTCTAGAGACAGAAGACGCAGGGACCCGTGTCTGTTGGGATTCTGCTGAGCTGTGATGGAAGTTTATACATTCAGGGAGCGGAGGCTGCTTCCCCCTCATGAAATCCAATTAGTCTAATGTGTCGCAGGGCTCAAAGCAGGTAAGTGTGTCTCTATCCACAGGCCAGGATGGTTTTCAAGGAGGAAAACGAATCACTCTTAATCCTGCCTCCACCCCCCTTCCCTGGGAACACAACTGCATTCATTTCTGCTTGCCACCTTCAGTCTCCGGGAGCACCAGACACGTTTGGGCAGCGTCGCAAGACTCGGAGGAGGCCACAGCCAATGTTAAACGAGAGCTCAGCAGACACACAGACTCAACTGAGTGGACATCGGGGGGTCAGATCAACAGATTGCAAACAGTTTCCGATGCCCGGCTGTTTCCCTGTGAGCTGGCAAATGCATTATTCACAGGCAGGGGGGACAGATGGGGTGGGGGCAAGAAATGACTGGGGTGAAAAGGGAGGCTTTCTCTCTGAAACATCTGTGCTTTTCTTTCCCAACCCAGCCAGCAGCAGCCTGTGGGCATTCCTGCAGGAGGGGAAGCCCGAGGCTTCTGAGCCCCATCGGGACACTGGGGTGGGGGGCGGTTGGGTGGTCTCTGTAGCCGAGCAAGGTGACTTTTTCTCTCTTCTGGATGCCATTTATACAAGCTGTCATTTCAAAATGTTAAGATGCTTCTGAAAATATGGATTTCCAACAAGCCTGGGGAGGGTGCCAACCGCCCCCCTCTGCCCCACCCCAAATAAAAAATAAAAACTAGGTGAAGCATTCTCTTTCCGGTTAGAAAATTCTAGGGTTCGAATGGGTATTTAGGCTCCAAACGGAAAGCCAGGCCCCCAAACGAGTTTAATCAGGTTCAGATCCTTGGGGTAGCAAACAGTGAATCCCAGATGTACAGGGCTGATACGAATTCTACCTTGCATGTCTGGCTAGACCAGAGGATGTACACTGACAGATAGGAGCTGGAAATACAGGGAATCCAGGGCGGATGATCCCTGCAGGACCAGTGGTGTGAGTGGCGATACTGGGAGGGTAGAGGGAGGGTGGGTTGGAAAGAGGGAACTGAGTACAAGGAACTATATGTGACCTCCTCCCTGGGGGACGGACAACCGAAAAGTGGGTGAAGGGAGAGGTCGGACAGGGCAAGATATGACAAAATAACAATTTATAAATTATCAAGGCCTCATGAGGGAGGGGGGAGCGGGGAGGGAGGGAAAAAATGAGGACCTAATGCTGGAGGCTTAAGTGGAGAGAAAATGTTTTGAGAATGATGAGGGCAATGAATGTACAAATGCGCTTTACACAATTGATGTATGTATGGATTGTGATAAGAGTTGTATGAGCCCCTAATAAAATGATTAGAAAAAAAAAAAGTTTTCAGAAAGGCCTGGCCTTCACCACATCTACCTGTCAATGAAACCCGGATGGCTCACAGGGTCTGACCTGCAATGACCTTGAGGAGAGTCTAGGACCCGTATGGCATTGTTTTGCATGATGTCACCAGGAGTCAGCGACCAACTTGATGGCAGCTGAAAACCAGAAGGCCTGAAAGGGACTTCCGTTTATCTAATGCTGGCTCTGACTTTCCATAGAAGAAACAGGCCCAGCAAGCTTCTCTGGGTTATCTGTGTCATTTAAAAGGTGGTTGCCTAATGTAATTAGAGCGATGGTTTTCCATATTGTCATCTTTCCCAGTTGTAGGCCTGTCACATAGACACCGCCTCCCCTAGGTGTGGATCACCGAACCTGTCAACACCTCCTTTCACCCCCACTAATGGGGACCTGGTGCTGGCATTTAGACAGCTCGGTTTCCCTTGAATCCATCTGTACACAGGAGCTAGTAGTGGTTAGTGGCCAGCTTTGGAGGCTCTGGAGTTGAACTACTTGGATTCAAATCTGAGCTTGGCCAGTCGTTGACCACGTGAGCTTGGGCGATGTAACCTCTCACTGGGTGTCTCCGTTTTATAACAATGATGGCTAACTCATTGAGTGGATGGAAGCCTTAGGCATCAAAAAATCAAAAGAACTTAGAGCAGGCCTGATCCGTTAAAACCCAATTGTGTTTATTTTTGGAAACCTGGGTAGAGTGAGGCTGCTTTGCTAGGAAGACTTCCTCAAGGGCCCAATAGCTGGAAGGTGGCAATTCTCAGCCATGTCCTGGAGAGGGACAGAACACCAGAGAAGGGGCAGGGCCCAGGGTCCAGGGTCCATGGGCTGACCCCGGGGCCATTCCACTGATGCCTTCACCTGCTTCTGCTCTGAGTCACTCCTGTCTCCCGTTGGTACTGTGGCTACGCTGTTCCGTAATCTTGACTGTGCGAGACCACATCCTCCAGAGGTCGGCTACAGGTTGGGAAGTTGAATCCCCCTCCATTCATCCTTCGTTCCCAATAACGCTCTCACCACACCATGGGTGGAATGGCCACTTGAGGATATGCAATGCCAGCAGCAAGTCCCCGGGCAGTGATTTCCCCTCTGTCCTCTCATCAATCGATGTTTTTCTTGTCCTCCCCTCTTGCCTCCCCCTCTCACGTCTTTAGGGTGGGTTCCCGGGAGCTGTGCAAGCTGCTGTACAGCCCTCATCAGTCAAACCACAGAGCAACTCTGCCAGGTACATCTGGTAATAGCCACCAGACCCATGAGGAAGCCAGGGCTCAGAGCAAGCAGTGAACCTTAGGGTTTCCGAAATAGCTTGGAAAGGGTCTGCCAGGACTGGAACCCTTCTCTGCCTGCCTCCAATGCCATGCTGGCTCGTGATGTCCTGGGTCCTTCTCCACCTTGATAACTCATAATGAATACATGACCATCCCTAGTCATTGTAAGCCTGCATTCAAGGAAGTGGAGAATTTGCCTGGAAGTCCGGCAATGAAGTTGGATTTGACTTCTTTTGATCAAGATCAACTCAGTCGAATGTCAGTGAACTACATTCAATCCATGTTGGGGCCGCCAAGGTAGGCTTTTGGATGCCTACAACGAAGGAAGAGTTGGCTGAACTTTTCCAGGACCAGAGATTGACATGTAGATGGTTAGCCAAACCCCTCTCCAATAAAAATTCTCAGTAGAATGATGATTGAAATAAAACAAACCCCGTAGAGATGAATTTAGGAGTCCTCTGGTAGTACAAATGGGGAATGGGCTCAGCTGCTCACTGACAGAGTGAAAAGTTCAGTCCACCCAGGGGTGCCTCAGAAATTCTAGTTAGTGGCTCTATTTCTGAACAACCAGTCCTTGAAAACCCTATGAAACCCATGGGTTTGCTATGAGTCAGCGTTGACTTGATGCCAACTGGGACTGGTAGACTAGTTTAAATAACTCAAGCACAATCCCTTCATCAAGGGTCCGTTCTTCAACCCCAAATTCCTACCGAATGGCATGAACTTGATGAGAAGCTTTATGGCCACAGAGGCTAAGCATTCAGGGTCCAGAGAACAAGTTTCCTCAGAAATAGGGTTCAACATTCTTTGAACTGTAAAGCAAGAAAGTGGGCATTCTCACAAGAAGCCCATTGGGACCTGATTCAGAAGGTCCAATCTTCTTATACCCTGCCCTGCAGTGTGTTTACACTGCCGGTAACAACACAACCCTCGCTCTGTCATCTCACAGTGGTCTTTTATATCCTAGGAGTATTGTTGCATTTTTCTGAGCCTGAGTAATAATAATAGCAGCTAACATTCATTGACAAAAGACTATGTGCTAAGTGCTAAACATATTTACAGGTGAATCCATTGACTCCTCTTTTCCACTCTGGAAGGTAGGGGTGATCACCGTGCCCATTATACAGAGAAGAAAACTGAAGCTCTACACTGGGACATACTTCACAGAGTGGGTGGACGTTTATAGAGAGAGAGGCTTGTCTTATGAAGGCATTGTGCATAATGGTTAAAAGCACAAGACCCCAAGTCAGGAAGCCGAGGTTCAAATCCCACTCCTACCACTTAACTGTGTGCTCTTGCGCAAATTACTTCACCTGTCAGCGCTTTATTTTCATGTTCACCATCTGTAAGATCCAGAACCCAATACCGACTTCATAGGGTTGTTTTGAGAATGGCAAGTTAAGGGCCTCAATAAACAAAAGCATACAGAGAGCAGGTTACCAAGTATTGTTACAAAAGCACAGAACCTTTTGTTAAGCAAACATATCCAAATGTGAAGTTCCTGTTTCTCAACAGATCCTCCATCCAGCTCTCGAGCATCTGAAAGTGGGGTTTCTATCTCTCTACTTCTTCTTTGAGTTCCATCATGTCCAAATGGCAGCTTTGACAGCCTCAAGGGACTCACGTTGTGTCCCTTTTCAACATTCCTTGAATTGGAGGAACAAAAAGAAGACTGAAGGGGCAAGATCAGGGCCGTAAGGTGCATAGGGTGAGGTTGCCCAGTGAAAGTCTCCTGAGACAGCCCTCGTTAGCCTCCAAGAATGAACAGGTGCATCGCCATGCATCGTAGTGCAGGGGGAAAAACTTTAGCACAACTTTCCTGACCTTCGTCTCACTGGTGCAGTTTTCCACTTTGTCCGTGTGAAAGTCTTATGTGCATCAAGAATATCCATCAAGATGATCCCTGGGGGATCTCAAAAGAACCCCTTTTGAAACTGACCCCTCTGCCTTGAATTGACCCGGTCCACAGATCGCCCTCCGAAGCCACAGTTTTGATGGGACCTTTTGGGAAGGCTTCCTCATGAGACTAACGTGGGTGCAGTACTGGAAGAGCTTGTCTGCAGCCATCCACTGACTGCAGAGATATCTTTCAATGCATCTTGTTTGGAATCAACCCGTGCGTGTCTGAACTGGAACCCCAGTAACAAAACTTGTGGACTTAGCCACATATGTCAGTACTTAGAAACCTAAATCATAGGCGTTCCTTTGGATGGCTGTGTGGGAACCACTGAACAGCCGTGGCTTTTCTTTATCTGTCAGATAAGCTGCCTGGAAAAGATGTTGTTCCACCGACTGCTATCCAGGTGATGTTATAGCTGATTAGATACATGTGGTCATCATTGAGACTGCCATTGTGTGCATGTGTGCTCATGCGCACTTCTCTATAAACACAGCAGGTTATTCTTTTCCATCTTTGCTGGTTTAGCTGCTGAACAGGGCTCAGGGTAAACGGGTGTTCACCAAGTCTTTTGGAATGGCCACAAGAGGAAGGGGAAATCAGTGTGTAAGTAAAAATGTGCCTAAACTAGTTGGGTACCTCAGAGCTTATCAATCAAGTATAGCTCAGGATGCTGTTTCAATTGTTTAGAATTCTTTCCATTGTCTCTATGTGTCTTACACAGAATGTCTGCTGATCTCATAGAAGCCACAGTCAAGTAGAAAAAAATAAACCATGGAGTATATAAGATCCACAAACTCAAACATCTACAGGGTCAAACCGTGGAGGTGAGGCAAGCAGGTCAGACATAGGCCGCCCGGAGCAGTGAGGACTGTCATCCACAGAGGCAATGGGCTCGAACTGCTGCCCTTCCAGTTAACAGGCACAGTGTGCAGCCCACTCTGCCTGGTGGTAGAGGTAGAACTTGAATAAAACCTCATAGTTGGCTTGTTGATTTCCCCCCTTAATTAAAGCCAGACAGTCCCACTTGGAGAGGGAGTGACGACATTCACATGATGGTTATAAATCAGGTTATGAGGTCAAGACAACCTTGCATGGACTGAAGACTGCTGTTTTCAAGGGCCCTACCAAAAACTGGAGTGGAAGAGGTGGGACTGGCCAGTAGGCAGGCTCTGTACATTTATGTCGATATGATGCATTTTCCATGATCTCTGGGAAAATGTCCTATTAATTATTTACTTCATGATGGTAAAAATGGCTCTCATGAAAGCAAAACTAGGTGCGATTGACTTGTAACAAAGTGCTACGCGTCCCCTTGCTGTATTTCACCACGTCAGCCATCACTGGCGCATACTGTAATGAACGAAAGACTAGAGCAACTGATGGGAGCCCGTTGCAGCCCCGCCAGCTCAGGACTAGCCATGTGGCTTTGGACAAACGACCGTGCTTGTGGAGCCCGAGTTTCCTCATCTGTTAAATGGGTAGAGAAATAACTGCCCTGCCTACATCCTAAGAAATGGTTGCCATCAAGTTGATTCTGACTCCTGGCAAGGCCGCGTGTGAGGACCCCCACAGGTCAAAGTAGAACTGGACTCCATAGCGCCTCCAGTGGTTGATTTTTCAGCCATGGCTTACCAAGCCTTTCTTCTGTGGCACTTCTGAGTGAGTTCAGATTTCTCCCTTCCAGTCCGCAGCCGAGTGCACTACCCGTTTGCACCACCCACAGCCTCTGCCTACATGATAGGCTTGTTTAAACACCCAACCTTCACATCCCAGGACAGCCTCACGCATGCAATACCAACCGAAGCCAGTCACATTCCCTGCCTCCCTCCGGTCACAGTCTCCCCTGTGAGCCAGCCACTCACTCCTCTGCTCTAATTTCCTTCATCTCCCTCCCACTAGGAGAGCTGCCATTCAAGGGACTCATGAAGTTAACATGGGAGAGGGGGTTGGGGGACAGGGTTGTGCTTCCCAGCACCCACGTCACGTACCTCACAGTCACAATCTGACCCCCATCCAGGACGACGCCATTCATCTGGGCTATAAAGATGGCAGCCACTGCTTCATAAAGGGCTGTGCCATCCATGTTAATGGTCGCTCCCACGGGGAGGACAAACCTGGTCACACGCTTATCAATCCCGAGATTTTCCTCCAGACAACGAAAGGTGACCGGCAACGTTCCAGCACTGAGAGACAAAGAGAGCAAGAGAAAAGCAAAGGTGATGTCCATCTTACAGGAGCAGGACCCGGCGCACAGTGGAAGGCCGTGCGTGTTTGTTCTTTTGTCCCAACCAAGCAACACAACAGGCCAAAAGAGAAAAAAAAAAAAACATCTGGAGCCAAATGAAAAGCCAGACAAGTGGAAGCTCAAGTTCAATCCGTTCAAGATGCTAACAGGCAGCACAATAGTTTTGTGGGTTCTTGGTCGGGAGAGCTGCTGAGAGCTTCCAGTTTTCTTTTCCCTTGGGTCACCCTTTCATCTTGGGCACAATACTGAAGTGTATCTGATGACACACATTAATTGGGCAACAAAAACCCAACAAATTGTGTCAGGAGAATAATCAACTGTCAACCGTGTGAAATGGATCCAGAAATTTCCGAGTGACCCCTCACTGCATGCTAGACCGTTCTTTCCTTTAAGATGACTGCACAGACTGAATTCAACCCCTGGGCACTGCTCTGAGCTGCACCTGCTAATGCGGAGAAGGGCAGGCACCAGTCAGCACAAACTCTGAGCTTCCAGAAATTCTCTGGAGAACCTCAGAGACAGAACAGCAGATAAAGGGACAAGCCTCTCCAGCAACATAGGGCAGGAAAGCCGGTGAGCAATAGATAATCAAGTACCTCACCCCCGCTCCTCCCAGCCTGGGGTGAGGATTTGATGGCCGCATGACCCAGCCTCAAAGGCCAGTCTCCTGACATCTTGCTGAGTCTTCTCACATCAGAGAGAGACCTGTATGGACAAGGGGTGCTGAAGGCCTGACTATTATTTCCACCTGGGTCAGAGGTGCAAGGGAGGGGTTGGGGTGGAATCATTTCAAAGCTTGAGTCATGAGAAAAGTGATGGAAGAGGCCAAAAGGGAGCTTTGGAGAGCTCTGGAGTCCAACTTCTTTTGATTTGAGTTACATGTTGTTTTTAAGCAAAGTGAATTGGGAAACTTCCAATCTGGACAGTAATTGGGAGTAATTCTCGCTTGCATGTGTAGCCTTAGTCCTTGTTCCCTTCTAATAGTCAGATGTAAGGCTCCAGCAGAACTGGATGGACAACCATGGTGGCTTTGCTTTCTCAGAGAATGGGGGAGGACTGGAGCTCAATGAAAGGCAGATTCCTGGGTCTACAAGGAATCAGAAGCATTAACATTACAAAAACAAACAAAAAACCTATTTGCCATTGAGTCTCTCTGACTTAGGAGCCCTACAGGGCAGAGTAGAACTTGCCCACAGGGTTCCCACAGCTCTAAATCTCCTTGGAAACAAAGGACTACATCCTTCTCCTGGGGAGAGGCTGGTGGCTTTGAACCATGGTCCTTTGTGTTCACAGCTGAGCTGTTTAACCACTGTGCCAGCCATCGGCACACAGGAAGTTCCAAAAGCAAACCCACTGCCATCGAGTTGAAACCCTACATACACTGAACCTACAGAGGGCTTCTGAGGCTTCAAATCTTTCTCCTGAGGAGTGGCTGGTGGGTTTGAACCGATGGCCAGGCAGATAACAGTCCAACATTTCATCTAGCAGTGCCACCAAGGCTCCTCTAAACATAGAAGGCTCAAAACTGGATTTTATCAGACCCCTAAGGTTTGCTGACCACTGATCTAGTGACAACCTTACGAGGTCATCTTCGGGAACACTGGCTCCCTCAGGCCTCCTTTTGGTCTTGATCAGGAGAAGAATGCACAAGGTTTCTGAATGCCTCACTGTTCCCAGTACCAGCTGTCAGTGAATCCACTCAGACCCTCTGGAACCTTCTGGTTAGCAGTGGAGTGCTTAAGCAGGGGTGCCACCCGGCATCGCCTCTTTGCTCACACCTTCCAAACCCAGAGGAAACTGCGGGGTCTGGCCTCCTTAGCATGAGGCCATGTGGTTCTCCCGGCCGGGCTGCCCCAGCTGCTTTAAGGAGAGCAACTCTTCCTTTATCCCTCTCACCACCCCCTTTCCTGAGGCCCTGTCCAAGGCTTGCCAGGGCCCCGTGCCTGGTCTGAAAAGTCTGCGCGGCTGTGATGGGAAGCCAGGATCCTCGAGCCTTTGAATCAAAGGATACTTCTGGGACCTCTAGAAGACATTCATTTTTCTTATTGCGTCCGTTTTGTTCAAACACCAACACGGGGTCTTAAAACAAAGAAAATACGCTGTATTTGTCCCGAATACACTGGCTCGGTTCGTGGCTGAACAGCCATCGGTCCCCAGTGACCCCAGGGAGAAACTCTAGAACGGAGAGTTTTCCCTCTTTCCTGTGTTGCCAGGCTGACATGGCTTGAGGTTTTTGTTTTCTTTTTTGGCTCCTGCCTCAAAGCTTAGATGATATTCTTCAAATATTACTAATCATATCTGGCAGCTACTTGGCATCATCTCTTCTTCCAAAGTTGCTTCAACAGAATGCACTGCAGATGGAGGGATGCTGAGAGGTCTGTCCCAGGCCGGCCTCCCTCCATCTGTGGGTCCTGAGAAAGCCACTCAGTCGTTTCTGAGATCCCCATCAGCCCAAGGGATGAGGAGGCATAGAGGATATTGCTCTGTGCTGTTTCTCTGTGGCCGGGATGGTGAAAGCCAAACTCCCGAACAAAGACAGCCTCCAAGTTCATTCTTAGGACTTGACTCCCACCACCTGGACTTCTCTAAAAAGAGACATTCCACCTTCAGGCAAAAAGCACGCTTTAGCCATCCATGAAAACCACATTGACTTCTCTCACAGTTTAACGGATAGACTTTTCCACACAATTTTAACTCTTTCTGAAAAGGTGAACCCTTTTGCACTTTGAGCTCCTAGGAACGTCTGACTTTTTGGATAACTCTATTTTGAAATAGGAACAGGTATTCAGAAAGAACATAAAGGAGAGGGGAGAGAGAGAGAGTAGAAAAAAAAAGGTAATTTCTTGTATTCTCTACCTGGAAGCGGTACCCAGGGCAGTGATCCAAGCTTGGAAAATGCCAGCAAAAAAGGAGAAAGGGTTTTTCCTGGTCACTACAAAGTAAATCAAGGGGAGGAAGATGCCCCCGTGGATGATGAGGCCCACAATCACCGTTACCATATACATCCCCAGTTGCCTAGCAACCACCTCTAAGTCCTTGATTGCAATGATCTTCCCACAAATTAGGCAGGCGATACCCAGGGGCGAGTACCTGAAAGACATAAAAGGGGCGACAACGTTAAAGAAAGCATTATGGGATTCGGAACTTTAAAAAGTAGTCCATGTCCACCTGTGGCCTTCGCTGAGGATACCCTTCACTTTTCTGTATGAGAGTTTGGCTGAATGAGGCTCCTGAGATGCAGTAGATATTTACTTTTTTCACTTTAGAGTAACTATCTTAATGATGCTGCATCCTAGCTCTCCCAGGGTATCCATCTTTACAGGAGCAGAAAGCCTCATCCTGTTCCCGTGGGGCACCTGGTGGGTTTAAAGGGAGGTTGCTGTGGTTAGCAGCCCATCTCAAAACCCACGACCCCACCAGAGTTCCTGGAAGAGGGGACTTCAACCATTTTGTGGGAAAATGGAATGAAAAGATAAGAAAACATTTCCCACAAGGGTTTGGAAGCTCTTTCATATTCCAAGAAATGTGGTTTTATTACTTCTAAATATGGGAGTGTTTTTTTTGTGTGTGTTTCTGCCCCCTCCCTCCGCTGCCCCTCCCCGCCCCCCTTCATCCTCACGTCTTGAACTATCATACTGACTATATGTTATTAAGGAGTTTATAGAGGCAGCTTTGGCAAGCGCTGTGCCCAAGCGCCAGTTTTGATTCCCAGTCATCGCGCCTGCTGTGCGGCCACCACTCAGCACGGTGGGGACGCACACATGGCTGTGATGCTAGACTGGTGGCAGCGGTCTTCAGACTAAGTCTAAGAAGAAAGGCTCTGCGTATGTATTGCCAGGAATCAGCCACTGAAAGCTTGGTGATTTACAACCGAACAGTATCCAATCCCTCAGGGAGACGGCACTGGACAGCGCGGCCATTCTGCTCTGAGGTACTGGGTTTGCCAGGAGCCAGTGCCCACTCAGCGGCGGCCATTTCTGGGACACTACAGCCAGGGACCCGATCGCTAGTCAGGGACTCCAGGGTAAGCGTCCCACACATTGCCGCGCCGTCTTCTTACAAGAGCCTCTCAATCTAGGTATCGTTATGTCTCCTTAGCAAACAAAAACCACTAATGTTCTGAAAAGTGAAGCCACAAAACCAGGAAGAGTAATTGAAACCCAGGGCTCTGAGACCCCTCTATTGGGTTTTATACACACCCTGGGAAACCACTCCCCTTTAGCAACATTAGCTCTCTGTAGATAAGCAGATGGCACACTGCATCTATGACCAGCCCGTCCAAACAGGCTTAGTGTAGCGTTCCCTCTTATTATGACGATGCTCACAGTGAGCTTAGGAATTAGCTGGTCATCTCGCTCTTGGGTACATTAACCCATTTTCACTTTCATCTTGACTGTGGCCCACGACCTATTTTGGTATTGCTAGCGCATGACCTGGTTGGGCTTGGGGCACCTTCTGGTGATAAACCTTGAGAAGCAGGAACTTACTTGAAAGAAAGCCTGTGGGGAAAATGAAGTCCCCGCATAAGGCTCCCTCCCAAGAAGGATCAGGGTGCAGGGAGGGAAGAATGGTTGCTCCGCTAGATGTGCGCTTTGCCACTGGACTGGGGCAAGCCCTGTCACAGGCCAGAACTCAAGCTCTGCAGAACAGCACCGCCCACCCACCCCCAATTCACCGCCAGCGAGTTGATTTTGACTCACAGTGGCCCAATAGGACAGAGTAGAAGCGTGCCTGTGGGTTTCTGAGACTGTAACTCTTTAAGGGAGTAGAAAGCCTCATCTTCCCACTTCCCCAGGAACCGCTGGTGGTTTTGAACTGCTGAACTTGCAGGTAGCAGCCTGGTGTAACGATTATACCACCAGGACTCCTTGAGAGCATCACAGTTGAATCTTGAACAATTGTCCAAGGCTTGAGCTATGAGTCCACGAAGGATATGTTTTTCTTGTAAATACTTGGCAATGCTAATTGCCTCCAGCAAATGGCATATCCCAATGAAAAGTGACCTCACACATTTTTTTATCATGTTGAGTGCAATACAGTAAAGCGAACCACACCACGAGACCCATATAAAGTGCCACTTTGTATGGAAGTGCTCCCAAGAAGCAATGCCATGACAGGACAAGAAAAATCCTGGTGGTTTTGTTTGTTTAGTATAAATAGTGTATGTACTAAATAGCTTCACAGATACGCTAAAGGAATTTACAGAATATTCCTGCACAGGTTGGATTTCAGGCACCTAGTTCAGATCATTTCTTCTTGGGAAGACAAATAATGGTAATCTCATCAGAGAAAAGAAACTCCGTATCATACACAGATTCAAACTTGCTTCATTACTTGGCTGTCTTTAACACAAACTACCAAACAGCAGTGAATAAGTTGACCTGGGCACTGCGTTTAACAGAGAGGTTCGATTTTGCAGAGAATTCTTTTGTTGTCATTTATTTTTACAAATGGAATCTAAGTGCTTTCGGTTCAGAGTTTTGGTTTATAAGAACATTTTGTTTTGATATTATAAAATGTATCAAATGAAAAAATGTAAGCAGACTATGCATGAATATATATATAACTGGTTGGAGATGCAGTAGTGGCCATAGGTTCTTGAAAACTGAAATAAGAAAGGAAGGGAAAAAACAAATGATTGGCCCTGAGTTAGATGGGGACTAAATCTTAGCAGCCTCCATTCCAAGTACGCGTGTCTGGGGCTGTGTCTAGATTAGAAACCAGAGTTCAATCTCTGCATGCTGGGCGAGTTTCTGATCTGCTGCTTTTGTTCTGGGCAGAACAGCAGCCCAGACAAGAGGCCCTCCTTCATTGCCACTAGCCTACCACACTCGGTATCAGGGCAAGGATTGTGGGAGTTCCCCAAGTCCATTCTGATGTTTTGAGGACTGTAGACAAGAATGCCTGGAACTGTAAACGTTTGTAGTTTGGGGACGAGTTCATGGTTCTTTGTCACCTCATACACACTGTCTTGGGAAGAAGCTACAGCATATCCAATATCCCGGGAAAAGTTGAGTCCTTGATATGTACTGTAGATGAAGATCTGCAGTCACCGGCAATTGCTCACCATGTGAAGAAAAAAGAATCCAGTGTAAGGGCCATTGATGAAACAGAAAAGGAAATTCATGTTGCTGTGCTGCCATATGCCAGCAGGTGTGAATGACTTGCACGTTTGCAAAATAACTTTTTAAATCTCATATGGAAAACACAGGTTTATTAAAGGGTTGCTAGGGGTCAGAATCAACTTGATGGCTGTTGGTTTTTAATTTAGGTATATGATTGCAATAACTATTACATATAACAAACAAAATGTGTGAATTAATTTTCTGTGTTCTTGGTAAGGCTTTTGAAAAAATAATTCATTATTATTTTTTTATAAGGAGAAGAGTGTGGCATCAGGATTGGAGGATGGCTTATTAAACAACCTGCAGTATGCAGATGACACCATGGTGGTTGCTGAAAGTGAGGAGGACTTGAAGCACTTGCTGATGAAGATCAAGGATTGTAGCCTTCAGGATGGGTTACAACTCAATGTATGGAAGACCCAAAGCCTCACAACTGGACCAATAGGTAACATCATGATAAATGGAAAAAAGATTAAAATTGTCAAGGACTTTGTGTGGCTTGGATCTACAATCAATGCTCATGGAAGCAGTGGCCAAGAGATCAAAAGACATATTGCATTAGGTAAATCTGCTGCACAAGACCTCTTTAGAGTATTGAAGAGCAAGGATGTTACTTTGAGGATGAAGGTGCACCTGACCCAAGCCATGGTATTCCTCATTGCATCCTATGCCTGTGAAAGCTGGACACTGAGTAAGGATTTGGACAGTGAGCAAGGAAGACCGACGAAGAATGGATGCATTTGAGTTGTGATGCTGGTAAAGAAGATTGACGGTACCATGGACAGCTCAAAGGACAAACTGATCTGTGTTGCAAGAAGTAAGGCCAGAGTGCTCCTTAGAGGCATGGATGGCAAGACTGCCTTACATGTTTGCGACATATTTTCAGGAGAGACCAGTCCTGGAGAAGGACATCCTGTGTGGCATAGTAGAAAGACAGCAAAAACAAAAAAGGCCCTCACCGAGATGGATTGATACAGTGGTTGCAACAACAGGCTCCGGCATAGGACCAATCGTGCAGGTGACGCAGGAACATGCAGCGCTTTGTTCTGCTGGGCACAGGGCCACAATGGGTCAGAGCCAACTCGATAACACCTAACAACAAACGTTATGTTTGGGGGAAGTCAAATGTCGCACAGAAACTTTCAACCATGCAGGGGTAGATATCCCGCATTGTTCAATAGTCAACTGTCTCCATATATGACACGCAGCTTGTGTGACCACGTTCAAGTTTCGCAGTTTGGTTGCTGTTGGGTGGTGCTGACTCGGTGCTGCCTCAGCGTAATTCTCTAAGACAGAGTGCGCTTGCTCCATGGGACTCCCGACTGTCATCTCTACAGAAGTAGTTCCCTAGGTCTTTTCTCCCACACGGTGGCTGAGTTCAAAATGCCAGCCTCTCCGTAAGCAGTCAAGTGCTTAACTAAGTAGCACCCAAGACTTTTTCCATTCCCATTTTAAAGATGTGCAAGTCAAAGCATACAGAGGCTCATTCTAAACTCGCAAAGAGAGGACTACATTTTTTAACACAGATTTGAGTACACTGGCACAAGAAGCACACCAGCCTGTGTGATCGAAGGATTGTCGATAAAATCCAAATCTGAAAGAGGGAATGGTATTAGAGCTCAAACTATGAACACCTGGTTTGCAGAAAACTATGACGACAGTGGAAACCCAAAATCCGTTTGCAGGGTCTGAACATGGATCAAGCTTCTGACTATTTCTGTCTGATCATAGTCCAGAGGTGCGAATAGCCTTGCTATCAAAGAGAGAACACTGTAAAATAAATTATGGCAGATGAAGTCAGGGTAAAACATAATACCTTATCATTTGATCTCCATTTTGACCCATTTTATAGTTGTTTGTTTTTAATATTTTCTGCTTTTTGTTCATTGAGGTTTTTCTGTTTTGTCTAATCATTGCTGTTGGCTTCTGTTTGCTTGTTTGCTTCCTGTTCGTGTTTTGCATGAA